ATCAACAGTAGAGTGTTTATTTTTGTGGAGAGGAAAGAGGAGGGATAAACATATTATTTCCTCCCATGTGAAGATCCTGTTTCGGCTGGGGATTTCCTCATTCAGCTAACAGTTTCACGCTAATGGTCAGTGAGGGAAACTTTTCTTCTTTTTTTTTATGGTTGTAGTTTAAATGAAGTTTACATTTCAAGTTAGTCTCCCACACAAAAATTTATACATACATTGTTACGTGACCTTAATTGCTTTCCCCATACTGTGACAGCACACTCCTCCTTTCCACCCGATTCCGCATGTCTATTCAACCAGCTCTGAACCCTCTCTGCCTTCCCACCTCACCTCTGGACAGATGCTGCCCACTTAGTCTCTTGGATCTACTTGAGCTAAGAGGCACACTCCTCACGAGTATCACTTTATATCCCACAGTCCAGTCCAATCCCTGTCTGAAGAGCTGGTCTTGGAAATTGTTTTAGTTCCGGGCTGATAGAGAATCCAGGGGACATGCTTTCTGGGGTTCCTCCAGTCTCAGTCAGACCGTTAAGTTTGGTCTTCTTACTAGAATTTGAGTTCTGCACCCCACGTTTCTCCTACTCCATCAGGGACTCTCTGTTGTGTTCCCTGTCAGGGTGGTCATTGGTGGTAGCCGGGCACCATGTAGTTCTTCTGGTCTCAGGATGATGAAATCTCTGGTTTATGTGGCCCTTTCTGTCTCTTGGGCTACTACTTTCCTTGTGTCTTTGGTGTTCTTCATTTTCCTTTACTCCTGGTGGTTGGGACCAATTGATGCATCTTAGATGACTGCTCCCTAGCTTTTAAGACCCCAGATGCCACTCACCAAAGTAGGATGCAGAAAATTTTCTTAATAAGCTTTGTTATGCCAATTGACCTAGATGTCCCCTGAAAGCATAGTCCCCAGACCCCTACCCCAGCTACTCGGTCCCTCAAGGTGTTTGATTGTATTAAGGAAATTTCTTAGCTTTGGTTTAGTCCAGTTGTGCTGACTTCCCCTGTAGTGTGTGCTGTACTTCCCTTCACCTAAGCTAATTCTTATCTACTATCTAGTTAGTAAATAATGCTTACCCTCCCTCCCCACCCTCATAACCATCAAAGACTGTTTTCTTCTGTGTTTAAACCTTTTCTTGAGTTCTTATAATAGTGGTCTTATACAATATTTGTCCTGTGACTGAGTGAACTCACTCAGCATAATGCCCTCCAGATTCCTCCATGTTATGTTTCACGGCTTCATCGTTGTTCTTTGTTGTGTAGTATTCCCTTGTGTGGATATACCATAATTTGTTTATCCATTCGTCCATTGATGGGCACTCAGGTTGTTTCCATCTTTTTGCTATTGTGAACAGTGCTGCAACGAACATGGGTGTGCATGTATCTATTCATGTGATGGCTCTTATTTCTCTAGGATATATTCCAAGGAGTGAGATTGCTGGATCGTATGGTACTTCTATTTCTAGCTTTTTAAGGAAGCGCCAAATCGATTTCCAAAGTGGTTGTACCATTTTACATTCCCACCAACAGTGTATAAGTGGGGAAACTTTTCTTGACCAGACTTTTTCTCTCCTCAAAATTATTAATATTTTCAGAGCCCTAAATGCTTTGTATTCATTATTTCATTCCATTTCCACCCCAAGAGATATATAAGTGCTATTACTGCCTCCATTTTAGAGACAAGGAAATGATGGATCAAGGTAGTTAAGTAGTTCTCTCTGGACACAGTTTATAGTCCGCTCAAAACTATTATCAGTGATTTCCTCAGTCACTAAATTTGATGGCCTTTCCTGAGAACTGATAACCTCCAATTTCCCTTTCAGCCCACTTTTTCTTAAAACTCTTTCTCCTTTGGCTTCTATATGCTGATTCTCTTCAAATGCTGTCTCTTTTAAGCGTCCCTTCTGCCCCCCTTCTTTTGCCACCCACTTTGCTCAGTGGCCTTGCCCATGGCTTCCACCATCACCGGGAAGGTGCACCTTTAGTTTAAATTTCTCTTAAAACTGAGACAAGCACTTCTAATTTCTGTTCCAGCACTTAGTAAACAAATATTTATTTTTAAATCAACAATAGTTATTGAACACCTAATGTGTTCAAAGCACTGTGAGAGGCTCTCGTAAGAACATGATGAATAAGACAGGGTCTCTGGGACAATGGAGTTGTCTTCATTTTTGTTCTCACAAGCTGTATGTCCAGAGCTTTGTACAAGGCCAGCTATGTTGTACGTGCTAAGTAAACATTTGCTGATGAGTGATTTAGTGGGGGAGGCAAACTCACGCCTAATTGTTTCTAATTCAAGGTTGAATGAAGAAAGTGCTGTAATAAAAGTGCTAGAAAATACTGAGTCCAGAGGGAGAGCCAAAGAATGGGTAAGAAAGGGGCAGTTTTATGAGGGTGACATTGGCATTGAGTCCTTAAATGACCAAAAATCCCAGGGGTTTTCTAGACACAGCAAGTGGTCTCCTGTGGCTCAAGCATGCAGCAAAATGTAATGAAAAATGGATGAGTTGCATCCTTTTAACTCAGTACTGAAGTCACTGCTGAAGTTCACCCTTCAGCCAAAGA